CCCCAAAACCCCAAAACCCCAAAACCCCAAAACCCCGTGAGTAAAACAAGTTATACAATAAATAAATTTACAGTAAAATAAATCAGTAATAATTTATAAGTTAAATGAGTGAATAATTTCTAACAAGTCTGAGAATCAGAGGCTTAACCAATGGTCCAGGAGAATAGAATTGCTTTTTAAATGTCTGCATCTAGACTTTAATGAATCTAAAATCTACTTCAGACCAACTTTCATTCATGACAAATAATTAATTAGATGATCACAATCCAATAGTTAAAATTATCATGGTAACAACTCAAATTTACACTCACTTTTAATAATTACATATTCTTAATATAGGAGATGTCAAAGTCTTATAAGAGAACTTAACTTAGTCTGTCAAAGATTGAACCCATTTCTCCTTGAATGTTAAGAAAAGAGGTATTTAAGCAGCAATATATTAAAGGCAGATTCCAAGTAATGACGATATTTATGAAGTAATATTTTATTTAGTTAAATGAAACAGATGACGCCTGCGAGATGTTTGAGTATTTACTCAATGAATTTCATAAAGACTATAAAACTTAGTAGCTATAATGAAATCAATAGTCATAATAAACTAGTACTTCTAGTACCAAGCAGCAAAGACATTGTGAAAAACACTGCCTAGCCCATGGAATTTTCTATCTAGATTATGAGGTCATTAACCTATGCCGATGTAATTTAAGAGAGACTATACACAAAAGTGATAAAGATGCCTACAATATGATAATCTATGTTCAGAATATGTTTCATCAAATCGATTAGAAATAGATGAAAACAGAGACGGATTGGGAGTTATACCTAAGGCATTCTGAAGGTTTATTCTAAGCATTAAAATGAGAAATTGAAGTGAAACCTTAAAACTGCATTGATACATTATGTAGGTTCAGAGATTAAAAAACATATCACATCTTAAAAAATAGTCCATAAGTGTTCACTTTTAATGTGGTATGGTCCCAATAAGACTTTGATGTTAAAGATCAAGAAAAAAAATTCTCACAAGATTTATTGTTCTTTTATTTGCTCCTACCAAATATATTTAATCCGTATGAGATCTTTAAAAAAAAGGCTAGCTAAAGGTAAGATTAATGAGAAAAACTTATTCATAATCTATATATAGAGAACTAGAATATTTCTTTAAGGGCTTTATTTGTTTTTATGGCTCACACTATTACTGCTACTTCAGACATTTGGTAGATGATAACTGGTATCTATTTGATGATAAGACTGTAAAAGTTATTGGTTCTTGGAAATAAGTCTTACTTTAGTGTGTAAAGGGCAGGAGTTAGCCAATAATGTTGTTTTATGAATTGTAATTTAGATATAAAAATAACGTATTAATTTAGACTTTAAAATAAGGAGCAGGTATAGATGGCTAAAGATAACCATTATATGACTAGTCGTTATAATAAAGATGACTTGCAAGAAATATATGATTTAGCAGTAAAATAAGACGACCCTATAGAAGAGAATGAAGAAGACATTAATAATCAACTTGATCCTGAAATATAAGAGCAGTTGAGAATAATGGAGTAAATGGAAAAAGATGCCTTAGTGGCATAAACTTTAATAAATAAGTTTCAATCTTCTGGAAAATCAATGACATTTGATAAAGGTAGAACTTCAAGTATCAGGTAAATTTTCTATTAAAAAAATTTTAACTTAGAAAATAAAAATCTGGTTTGAGGGGTTCATCACCATAAAGAAATTCAATACTCATGAGTAGAGCTTCTACTTAGCGGTTATCAATGCTAGGTTCCTCCATGAAAAATAAGGAATTACCATTTAATAAATCTAACAAAGCATATTTTGAGCCAATCATTCAAGATAAAGAGGAAGAGAAGATCAGTGAACAATTTGATTAAAACAGCAATATTTCTTCTAATTTATCATATAGGTTTAAATGTGGGCATCTTTGTAAGGAATTTATAAGTATATATGATGAAAAATGCTAGCACTGTATGAAGGATAATAAATACTTTGAACCAAAGCTAATCTCTGAGTTAGATGAGAATGAATGGTTCTGCTAAAGCTGCAATGTTCTAAATAAAATGCCAATCTTTAAGTGTAGAGGTTGTAGCAAGGTAAATGCAATCATTAAAGATATAGTAACTCTCCGAAAATCAAGTAAACTGACTACTCTATAAAGATTTTGGAGATGTCTTAATTGCAAAAACACTAATGATTAAATGAGGAAGGTTTGTAATTAGTGCTATTGTCAAAAACCATTATATGATTTGAATGCGAAATATCAATAAAATAATCAGTAGATTTTGAAGGAATAATAAAATGGGTAGACTTAGAAAATTGATGCAAAGTATAATTTTGAGAAAGATGGATTTATCTGTAATTCTTGCTATAAAAGATATAAGGTTATTTAAGATTTAAATGGAATTTGTAACAATTGCTAAAGTCATAAATTGAAATCTATCAAGCATATAATGACTACTGATTAATCATTGAAGTGATTAAGTTTTTGAAGTTATAATTTTATGATTTTGCTCGAAAAATAGAGATTTTTACCCTATTATATATTTTTGAATTAAATAAATAGTTTTTACAAAAATTCTCAGAGATCCTTTATAACGGGGTTTTGGGGTTTTGGGGTTTTGGGG